TATCTGTCTGTCTGTCTGTCTGTCTGTCTGTCTCTCTCTCTCTCTCTCTCTCTCTCTCTCTCTCTCTCTCTCTCATCATTTACCCACTCTGGTATTCTGTTATGGCAGCAGAAAATAGATTACAAAATGACCACTATGAGAGTATTACAAAAGAAGATCGTGAAGAAGTGGTTAGGTCACAACAGCTCTTCTCCTGTAAGCGGGATTGAGTGTCTTCGGTGCCTGTTGTGAAAGGGCTCCACACTCCTCTCCAGAGGAGCATGACAAGGCACCATCTTGGAAACAGCTTCACCAATCACCAGACCTCTGGGGAGTTGATCTGGGACTTCTCCGACTCCAGAGCTGTGAGAAAATAAGTATCTGTTCTTCATACATCACTCATTCTCAGGTAGTTTTAAATAGTTTAACGGACTAAGACATTACTGAACATAATCTTGCCACTCTGAACAGTAGGGCTGAGAGGTGGATGGCATAATATGGCTAAAGAGTTCAGGCCGGAGAGGCAGGGCCCCGCCTCTGAGGGTTCCTGACTGAAAGCTGAGCTCCAAGGCGACCACCTCACGCATATTTTGCCTTTCTCTTTGACTTCCCAGGAGCCAGGCAGTATTCATTTTTAAATTCTTCCAGTAACTTGAACAATATCTGACAGAGGGAGGTGCTTCTGCTTTTTCTTGCTTCTTGTTATGCCCTGTCAATTTCATATTGTCTTTCTTAAGACACGGCCTTACTATGTTATTCATAATCCTCTTACCCTGAGTAGCTGAGATTATAGGTGCATACCACTGTGCCTAGCTTCAGAATCTATTTTTTAAAAATTTCTGTCCTTAGGGCCGACCAAATTGCTCAGCAAATTAAAGCACCTGCAGGCAGGTGCAGGGGCCAGAGGTTCAATCCTCGGGGCCTGCTGTGCCGGCCTTGCCCCCGGGTCACGCTGACACAGCAACTGAGACTGGGCATGGTGGCGCACGCCTGTAATCCCAGCACATGGGAGGCTGTAAATAGGAGAATCAGTACAAGTCCAATCTAGTAGTGAGACCCTGAATACCCTGTAGACCCTTCCCTAAACAACAACAACAAAAAAAATCTGTCCTTGGAGGATCATTATGTGTCCAAGCTGCGTAGCAAGACCCTATGCCAAATAAATAAATGATTTTTAAAAATTAAGAAATAAAAATTTCTGTCCTTATCTCTGTATATGTATTTTTTGTGTCTCTCTTGGGGCATGTACCATTTTATAAAAGTTTCACTGTAGCGTTAATACAAAGTTAAGAAGATAACGCAGAATCTTTTTTATTCTCACTTCTCTCCCAACCACATCCAACGCAAGAAATAAAAGGCAAGTTCTTGTTGGCTTCCCTAAGCCGTCACTGCAGCTCTAGGTTTCTCCTTTCTCTACCTCTTCCTCCCTGTTTTTGTTTCACATGTTGATCCATATTCTCAATCAAAGACTGAACATGAGGGAAGGAGGCATGAATTTATCATGCTATTTCATCTGTGAGGTTCTCGGGAGAAGTTTTATTTTCCTTTCCCATTCATGTCTTTTAAATATCTGATGATGCTTTTCACATCCTCCAATTTTTCCCTTCTCCAGATGCATTCTTTCAATTAATCCATTGTCACACTTTCCTAACTCCACCATCCTATTCAGACCTTCCATGGCCACTCTTGTAGGACACACCCCCTCTTACAAATATGTTGCATACTGCATAACATTGCTGCACTGGAATTCTTTAGAAAATAATGAAGGAGGGCCGATGAGATAGCCCAGCAGACAAAGCCCCTGCTTTGGCAGGTGCAGGGACCAGGGTTCAATCCCTGGTCCCTCATGTTGCACTGGCCCTGCCCCCGGGACATGCTGAGCCAGCAACAGAGTCCGGGCATGGTAGTGTATGTCTGTAATCCCAGCACTGAGGAGGCTGAAAACAGGAGGATCACTACAAGTCTGACCTGCATAGTGAAGCCCTGTACCAAATACACAAATGAAAAAGAAAGAATGAAAGAAAACAATGAAGGTGTAAACTCTCCTGGAATTGCTATGACAAGCAGAAACACTGAAATGACACCTAGGATTTGCAGGCAAATTTAGTTTATGTTGATGAACCCTGACTAGGAGCAGTCCCAAAATATCAGACCCTGATCTCTGGTGGTCTAGGGCTTGTATGAGACAAGCAAGAAGGCAGTACAGAGGCCGAGTGGCTTGTTGATTGGGGATTGGTTTTTACAATATGTGTCACAGTGTCCACCTGTACATCACAGTGACCAGCCATGTCTAAGAAACAAAAGCAACAGGAACTGTAACCAAAATTATGACATGGGCAACTAAGAAACTGAAGTTTCCTAGCTGTGGGGGGCGAGGGGGCCATACGCTACACAACCACCTCACCAGGGTGTTTACTTGCCCCAGTTGGCTACCATTGGGTCATTTGCTCACCTGTGTGTATAGGAGAAGGAAAAAGTGAAAGATTTGGCTTGTTCAGCCAGGAACACAAAAGATTGGGAATGGAGAATGACAGAGCTGACCATGTAGGTGGAAGCCATCAAAAGCAGGGAGAGACACAGTGGGGTAAAGCCTGCTGACACTGAGAAAACTCTATCATGGGCAGGGGTTATAAAATCAAAGGCCCAGTCAAGCCAATAGGTAACAGGAACAGGAAGAAATTGAGTTAACCCAGTGAAATTTAGGACTAGCTGGAAAGTGCTTATCCAGGCAAGAGGGAAAATCCCACTTCTGGCCCCTCCCTCACCCTAGTGCAGAAGCCGCACATGTAAGCCCTTACAGGATGTTCAGACGATTTTATTCAGAGATCCTAATCCCCTTCAGATCACTAGTTCCAGGTCATCTTTCCAAATTGGTAGTCAGCATCTCCTGACCAGACAAATGAGCTAATGAGCTGGAGCGAGTCCTGCACGTTCTCAAGCCCTGTGCCACATTAGTGCTTTGGTTTTCAGCACTAATAGCCAGAGAACACCAGACAGATGAAGAAGAAAATTTCCCAAGTAAAACAACTAAAACAAAACAAGAAACTGAAAAGAAGAACTCCAAGCAAACAGAGACAATTCGAGGAAGAGAAGAAAATTTTTGTTTTTCTTTTTTGCCATAGCATGGATCGAACTCAGGACCTTGCACATGCCAGTCCAGCCCGAGAAAATTTTCTTTTCTCTTTCTTTTTTTTCCCATAATTTTATTGAGAAACAAATAGCAATGAGACAGTTTCAAACCAAATTGGTAGGACAGCTTCAATAATTAACACATTGCATACATTCTTCCTAGTGGGTAATTGCTGTACAAGATGCAGATTTTATATTCTATTTACAAACACCATTAGAACAAATCCCTCTATTCATTAAGAGAATGTAACTATATATCTATCCTAACCACGTTGAATACACAGATACAAAATAGACATTCATCTGTATCCCCTTTTTTTGTTAAGTTCCATCATTTAAATATTATAGGTGTGTAAACTCAGCAAAATATTCTAAAAGAGTCCAGTAGCCCATAATAGTACTGGGTCTTCCGCTTGACTGGCAATGTCAGAAATTGTTGACCTGAGTACCCTACAGCTCAACATAACACCATGGCTTTACCTCTTATACTTCGTTTTTATGCTTTTCTGCTGGATGGTTAAGACCAAGGTAAAGCAGGACCTATGCAACAAGAGTTGTAGCTTTGGGGTCTGATAAGGTCAGTGAAATGCCCTCAGGATTTATCCTGAGATCCTGTACCTCAGATTGTAGAACCTTTGTCAGTGTCAGCCATGTGGATGAGTCACGGCCATTGCTTGGCCATCTTTTCTCTTTCTACAGGCAAACATTTATTTATAAAATACAAGCAGCTGTTATGAAGACTTTGCTTCCATCTTCTATTTCTCTTCTTAACCCGTAGACTATACAACAGGAAAGAATGGCGTGACGAGTACTGTTCTCGAATGCAAACACAGCCTATTATCCACACACATCTGTATCACCATGAATTCTCCCACTAGGGACCCAGCTTCAGAAGCATCTTCATCTGGGCTACAGTAAGAGTCCACAAAATATGTGTGTCCATCTTCATTTTTTTTATCAACTACTGTAATGAGAGGAATTCTCGGTCATCTGTCCTGATGGATACTTTACATGATAAAACCAGTGCCGTTGTAGAGGGCTTCAGTAAGGAAAGCTTGTACCTGTTGACTTGGGTCTGATTACACTGAAATGTAAGTTACTTTATTTATTTGTTTATTTGTTTATTTTGTGGTACTGGGGATTGAACTCAGGACCTTGTGCTTGCCAGGCAAGTGCTTATTCTTCTGAGCTATCTCCCCGGACCCCGATTACAATGAAATGTTTCCATCAAATCACAATCTTTAAGATAGTGAAGGTGGGAGCTCCCTGCATTTCCAAAAGAAGATAACCTGCAATAGGACTGATCAGGAGATACGGTAATCTGGAGGACCTCACTCATCATATCTAGTTCAGAAAATTCTTCACATAGTCCCTCTGACAGCAGAATGATTTTACTGATGCCATTGGCATCCTCAAAAGCAAAATCCAAAGTTTCCTTGGGCTCCTGAGTATTGATTTTGCACACTGTCACCATTCTTCCTTCTTCTAGAAATAGCATCAAAGGGTGACCATATACTTGGTAATACATCTGAAGTGTAGTTAAAGTCCCTAGCATGGGATTTGATCCAAAAATAGATAAACAATATAAGAGAACAGTTAAATTAGCTTGAAATACAATAGGCTCTCCCTGAACCAGAAACTCCTGAACTACTTCAGCCTGAATAAAAGCATTGGCTTGCACACACGGCACATTTTCCACAGTAACCTTGAGTCCATGTTTAGTAGTGAAACGTGTGGCGTGGTCTAGGAAATGAATAGCTTTTAGAATAGTGGAGAAACTCCTACTGTTGTCCAGAGTGGCCACAAAGCAGTTCTGATCGGCCTCAGCTTGGGGGTGTTCAGTCAGGAAGAGCATGGTCTACATTCATTCCAAGGGTCGCTCGGCGGATCACAAAACACCTGCAGCTCCCAGGAAACCAGGGACAGAGGAGCGGCTCCCTCCAGTCTTTTCAGATCCTCCCACCACCTCGGGCACTGGCTACCAGAGTTTTAAGAACTTTTTAGTTAAGTATTTTATTTTGAACTGGTTGTAGATCTATCTGAAGTTGTAAGAAATGAGAAAGAGGCGCTCTCCATAAGAAAACTTGGTAGATGAGGGCCAAAGAGATGGTGCACTTTAGAATATGAGAGCTGACCAGCATGGCTGTTAGTGTGATATTATGCATCTGTAAATGCACATATGACCAAAGAAGAGAAAACCAAAAACAGCTAGTGAGACCACAGCAGCTCCCCATATGTACTGTGCCACCTCTGCAGCCTAAATATGTTGAAGAGTAGCCTGGTTATTTACAGATGGGCTTTACATCTATCCACAGTACAACTGGTTGTTTTATTGGCTGGTACAAGAGTACATATGTCTTTGTGAAAAATGAGATAATGGATACAGTACAATTTGGAAAAGATACATATGTCTATCTGAAGAATCCTTGAGATTTTCTTCCAAAATTGGGAGAGATTACAGCTTCAGGATTGGCAGGCTTGGTTTCAGCAAGAAAAAGTTCCTGATTTAAGAAAATTGCTCATCCACTAGGACTGGCTACTTTAGGAGCCACTGTTTATTACCCAGTTCAATCAGTAACAATTGCTAAGGTAACTGGGAAAAAGCATATGCTACAACCAGCAAATTTATGAAGCATTTAAATCATTATGGACAAAAAGCACCAAAAAAGAATCACTCCTGGAGCGTAAAGGAAAAACTAAACTAGGAATCTCTGATGAAAAAGAAGTACCTGCAAAACCAATTCACATCCGGAAACTCTCAGCATCTTGACCAACAGAGGTCAGTTCTGAAACAGTGATGAAATCGGAACCCACCTCAGGTACTACGCCATTTATGCCTGACTCTAAACTCGTGGATCAGGGCAGACCCATCCAGAAGATGAAGATATGCACAGCACTAGAAGCTAAAGTAGACGCATAAAGAAGTACAAACTATGTGAAGTTGCGAAGGATGGTAAAAAATCCATGCAGTGGCTAACTGACATACAGTGTAACTTAAATTAAGGTTTTTTGACATCTTCCATTGTACAGTTTGATCAGTCATGTAAGTAATTGACAAACTGAATGCCAGACAAACAATATTAAGTGATTAATTGGCAGAAGTATTAGATTACTTTTAATGACATATATTTTAAAATCAAAAAAGATAATAAACACCAATGAGACTAAGATCTGAATATATATATATATGTTTACATATAT